AACTGAAGTTTTAGCTGTAGAGGAATTATGCATACCCCATAATGAATTTGGACTGCATAGAACCCTTTTGTTTAGCCTAAACGCAGCTTACTTTTTTGTTCTCTTCTTGATTCTTTGGCTACAGGAAAGGGAGACTAATAAAACAAATACAGGATCCTTTTGCAATTCCATTAGAGTAATCCTCTTTGATTCAAACTATGATCTACAGCTACAGCCTTTAACTTTAGAATAGGCAACTGCAAAGAAAAACAAAAGGGGATTAAGAAGTGGAAGCAGACAGAGAACAATTATGCATTTTACCTCAGTTTGTTAAACTCATTGCTTTCCACTGCTCCCTGCTGGCACTTTGGTGGACATCATCAATGCTATCATGAGCACTGACTGGCAGGGTCAGTCCTGTCATTTCCTTAGCTTCACTCTTCATCTGTTCCTCATTCAGCAAGAGTGTCAAGCAGGGTATCTGTCCCTGCAAAATATTTTCAAGTCATAAAAACTTTAACTTCTGTAGACATCCTGACCACAAAAATACCTCGTGTGTTAGGATTAAAAGCTGGACTAAGTTGTTCGAGTGTTTTTATTTTGGTGGTGGTGGTGGTTTGGGGTTGTTTTGTTTGGTTAGGGTTTTCTTGTTCACTATTGTGGGGGTTTTTTGTGTTTTTTGAGTTTTTTTTTCCTGTTCCATCTGCTAGCAGCTTCTTGCTCATCAGTATTCTTTCATCCTGGAATAGCTCCCTCTGGTTTAGTCTCTGCAGTCCACTTGGATGATGTTAGGCTGACTTTAATCCCCTTCCCTTCTCCTGCCTCAGCTGCTAATGTTGCTACATAGAGTTCGTATTACAAAGTAATAGATTTTCTAAAAGTCTTCAAACAGGTGATCATCTGATGGGTAATTCAGGGATTGCAACCTTGCTTTCTATCAAAGCAGTAGTTTGTATTAGGATTTTTTGTCACTGCAGCAGTACTGTGGGTCCGTGTGGCCTATGTAATGGAGCTGCAAGTGTTCCAGGGGACAAAGGATCAGCTTTGGTAGGAATGGACTGCGGTTTACTTGGTAAAATTTAGCAGGGCATATTATGCTTTGACAGCATAGTTCTATGGAGGATAATGTGACTGCACACTGCACGGCTCTGTAGGTGAGTAATGTATCACATTTGCTGTTCTTGTATACTTTACCCTATACACCTCCCCTTCTTCCCTGCTCCTTCCCATTGAGTTAACTCCTCCTTTCTTGCAAGGAGACTCAATGGCTGCAAAGCATTACAGGTGGCATGTAAAGTGCATATTCAAGCTGCCTCTGATATTTTGGCACTCTTCTCTCTGTTCCAGAATTCAGTGCAGCTACAAAAGTGTTTGTCCATGTTTTTTCTTTGCATTCTGCCTGTACCCCAGTTACATCAGATGATGCGAAGGTGTTCTGTGGAAGTGTGCATCAACTGGAAGATAGTATTGTTAAAAGTCACAGTAACTTAACTCACATATCTCCAAGCATAAGCCACCTAAGAAATAAGTATCCTTCTGCTGTAAGGGAGCTATTATCACATTATACAGAAAGAGGAGTAAAAGCCTACTTAGAGAAGACTATACTTGATGCCAAGAAATTTATAAAAAAAGCTGAGAGAGCAGGTTTGATGTCCTAGGCTGTTGTTAATGAGGCCATGATTTTCTTCATTGTTGGGATGTGGTGGGCTTACGCTGCACAGTCGAATTAAACTTGCTGTCTTGTGTACAGAAGCAATCCAGCAATAGCAGGTTATGTTTGGAAAATCAGCTTGCACAGAGTGCCGTCCTTCCCTAGCGCTCATTCTTTAGGATTGACTGTTTTGCCATAGAGTGCTAAAGAGCAACAATTAAGAAGAAAAGTAAGTACAGCTGTAATGCACTCAACGTAGAAGGCTGTCTACATTTTGCTAGTATCTGTCTTTACTAGGTCTTACAAAGCTGCTACAGCACTGGAGTGAGGTACTGGAATTCAGTGGATTTTTGTGTGACTGGTGTTAGAGCATGAGGTGTTGGAAGTTGAGAATGTACAGGGCAGCTTTGTTTTCTCTTGGTTTTTCTGTTTCCTTTATGGTCTGAACGAGTAGTGAGGCAGCCCAACAAATCAAGTTTGCATATGAGGGGTGATGTATTTCTCCTGCAACAGTAATGGGGAGGAAATCGAGGGAAATTCCCCTGGAATACTCCTGCCAAGTCTGTGCTTGAAGGACAATTAGAGCCCCAGATTTGTTTCATCTGACCCAGCAGGTATGGTTGGTGTCATGGCACATCATCAAAGCTAGGTGGCCTAGCAGTGCTGTGAAGTTGCATCAATTCATGCATGTTTCATGGGTGGTGCATAAGTGCATTGCATGGGCAGTCGTCCAAATCAAAATAGTTACATACAGTATTGTAACCTCAGCCTCCTTTAGTGTATCATGTAATTTCATGAGCCAGGGAGATATAGCTGCACTGAGATGATATGAATGCTTCCTGTGCTGGGATTCTGGATGATCATCAGAGAAGGCAGACAACCATCTCAGGAACTGCAGTGCTGCTAAGCCAGCCAACAGGAAGTGGTAAAAACTCCGAAGTGGCTGTATCTTCCTTCCTCCTAAAATCACAGCTGTTAAATTAATTCCCTTTAGCTCTATTAGCATGCTGCAGTTTTCAGCATGAGCTCTCAACATGTTTGTAATGGCAAAGACTGATTTATCATCACCTCATGAGTCAATCTATTAGCCTGCAGATCTCCCTAATTTTCTTCATGGAAGTGCTGAAGAGAGCTATGTTGCCTCTCTTGGTAACTCGTAGGAGCTCCTCCTTGATATGCCTCTGAAAAAGAGGCATTTTTAAGTCCTGCTTCCGAGTGGGTAGTAAGAAGCTTGTGTTTCTGTCTGTTGTCTTTCTGCTGTTGGTTTGAAGGTGCTCCACTGTTTTCTCCATTTTTGCCTCTCCACTTGTGGGCCTTCAGGAAACAAAGGGCAAGCCAAGGTGGGGATGAGGGGAATCTCACATGCAAAAGCTCAGGTTTTATTCTTCTATCTCAGCAAAAGCAGAATATTGCCCCTGGCAATACAGAACTTCCCTGAGGCTGTTGGAAACATGCTAGTCTTCAAATGATAGCTAGCTCCTTTCCAAAAGGGAGAGAGGCCAATAGCTATGTTAATAAATGTCATAAAAACAAGTCACAGGATGTATTTTTATTCTCTCCTGACATCCTGGTCTTTGCATACACTTTTGAAAATCTGGGCACTCCCTTAGCTTCCTGGGGAGATTTCTGCAATTTCTGCTTGTGCATCAGTGACTCCAGGGGCTTGCCTTGTATTTTGGCTCCTAAAACTAAGCCAGACTTATCCCTAACCTCTTCTTCCAGCACGGTGTTTATCCCACTCTACATTGACCAGATGCTGTGACTGAATGCCAGTCTGCCTCTCAGCTAATAACTAAATGATGGAGATAGTTTCAAAACCTTGGGGAAAATGTGTAGTTTATTTGCCTCTCACTACTGCATATGTTTACTTCTTGCAAGGATTCATCTATTTCTGGTTAGGGGTTACCTTTCTAAATTGTATCCTCATTTGTGAAGGCTATCAAAGAAGGTTAATAGGAACCTCTGTTCTCCACCTAAGCTCTAGTTCTTGCTTTCTGCATGTTGCAGATTCCCTTTCACTAGTGATTTAAATTACCATGGTAGTGGAGTTGGGGGGGGGCTTTTTTTCCAGCTCTGTAGCTGCATTTTAAAGACAAAACAGTTCATACCAGAAGGTCAAAAAATTTCTCCCTTCTAGTTCCCAACAAAGAAATTTTCAGTGACCATTTAAATACAGATCCTACCAGTTTCTGAAATGAGGTCAGTGACAGTCTTAGAGTGCATTTTATAAGGTACTTGGGTTCATATTTCCCCATCAGCTAGAATGCCCCAAACTCACACCAGAATCTGGCTGCCTGCAGCATGCAACTGTTCCTCTTTCCTTCCTGGGGAAGGAATTTAGGCAGCAGCTGGAGATGTCTCCTGGAATAAGTCAGAGCAACCAGTGCCAGTGTAGCGTGTCTGACTACCTATCCACTAATTTCCATGCACTGAAATGCTTTATTCTTGGAAGGAAAAAGGCTCAAGTCTCAGTCTCATTTCAGCATCTTTTCAGCTTTCTCTGTTGGCACGCTCATTATATGAAGAAAAGACACTCTAGCTTAGAAAAAGTTTCTACCCTGGTTCTTGGTATCACTGGGGAATAACCCCTTTCCCACTGCAAAGCACCAGATACTGGTTAAATGGTATGACATAACAGTGCCTGTTCAGTTGAATGGCAGCATTCTCTATTTGTGTCTACAGCTGTTCCTCCTCTTTTTCTTCTCCTCCTCACTGATACTGCTTGTTGTTGTCCACTGAAAGAAAATGTGAGTCAGTAACATCAAACTTGTAATATCACAATGAGCAAGAAATGAAGCAAACTGAAGTTGCCAGTTCTGTAGTATTGCTGTTAATGGATTTGTGGTGTTTGTCTGCTGTAGAACTCTTATGTATAAATCAACCATGTGAAAAGCATTAAAAATGCTGAAAATACTGCACAGGAGTTCAGATCGTATAAATAGATACAGGGAGAATGTTGTATCTTGCCAAGGACATTTTGAAATAACAAATGTTTCTTGCATTAAATTAATTTGTTCCCTTTCTGAAGTCTAGATGTTGCTTTCACACAAACTATCATGACAGCTTACACTCATGTCTCTCTGCTGGTAACTTGACTGAGAACTCAAGGGTCAAAAGGACCATGGAGAATGCTTCTACTGAGGGTATCAAACTCCAGGATTCTCTTGGCACCACTCATTAATGCTAGAGGACATTTTCAGAAAAAGATCCCAGCTAAAAGGAGGAGATTAGAAGACCTGTGTTTTTTGCCTTCTTTAAATACAGCATAGCACTTGCCTGATTTGGTGAGCATCTCTTGCTTCTCAGCATGTGCTTGACAGTGTTGGTGAGAGCACCCACTTGTTGGGGGCCTGTGCTTCTTCTGTTCCAGGTTCTCTGAGCCAGACCCTAGCCACACACTAGAGGAGCGAGTGGTACACTGGTACTTCAGCCAGCTGGACAACAACAGCAGCAATGACATCAACAAGCGGGAGCTAAAGCCTTTCAAACGTTATGTAAAGAAGAAGGCCAAGCCCAAAAAATGTGCCCGACGTTTCACTGACTACTGTGACCTCAACAAGGACAAGTCGATCTCGCTTCAGGAGCTGAAAGGGTGTTTGGGAGTCAGCAAGGAAGGAGGTGAGTGGCTTTTCTTCCTTATTGCCTGATAATAAAAGACTGACATGGAGTTACAGCAAACTCAGGAACCTGTTTTCTCCCAACTGTTTCAAAAGTACAACAGTTTTTGTGAGAAAATGAGTGAGATTAATCCCCTGCCATGCAAATATAGTTCCTTACTTGTGTTGTGGCTCTGTGTTGTATCCCTTATCACAGACCGTCATGCTGAGCACTATACAGAAACAGGGCAAACAGATGAGCCTTAGCCAGAACTCTGCTTGTACTGTAGTAGTCCTTGGAAACGGTAGTTCAGGTCAGGTCCCTTTGAGTAATACACTGCTAACAATATTCTGTTGTCTCAACCATGTAGGTTGGATGATGTATGAGCCAGCACAGACCCAGTCCTTCTCTAGAGACCCTGTTGACTAACAGAAATAATATTTATTTTCATTGCTAAATTCAGCATGCAGGAAAGTGGATGATGCAGAGAGAACAACTCAGAAAGAAAGCACAAGGCTGTACTGTTGCCCTTTTTCATTGTACTTCAAGATTGGGGGAGAAATAGGGCATGTGAATAACCTATTTTAATTTGTGTTTAGTGCCTGAGCAACCAATTCCACCCTGTGGCCTTTTCTTCTTTTTTCATCTTCACCTCATCTTCTGTTGGGACCTGAAACTAATATTTTTGGAAATTTTATGAATTGAAACTGTTCAACCCGAAGTCAATAATTATCTGTCATTCTTGTCTGTGGGCAGACTGGCTTGGCAGCAGAAGGCAAACAGGGAGATTCCAGGGGACTAATTTCCTGTGCAGGTGTTTTGACTGTGCAGACAGCTCTTGTTATAACTGTCATGCTAGTTGGGGAGGGTGGGTAGCTTTCTTTCTCCCATCTTAACCTTTCCTTAATTCTTTCCTCAGGTTTAGCATAAGTGGGAAGGAAGTCAGTACATTTAGGTGTTGGGAAGTTGCATTTTCTAGGTGCTTTGCAAACATCTTAGTTATAATAAACATGCTGCATTACTCCTCAGCTGTGAGAAGCATTCAGCTTCCATAGCCCAGTGGAAGGTATTTTTTGGTCATTGGTACCTTACTGAGGAATGACATACTAAAACAAAAATCGTTAATTTTATTACCTTCACAATAAGATGAATATGCCAAATGAGTTTTGAGCTGTTTGGCCTGGAAAAAGACTCTCTGGAATCTGCTGCCTTGGCCAACTGATTGTTCACAATTTAGTTTATGGAAGGGGAAAAAATCAAAGGGAGAGAAGAAACAAAATGTGAATCTTTGGGCCCATGTGAAGGGGAAGGAAAGCAATGAGACATTGTTGTGAGTGCCTGATTGTCCAACTATTTGCTTAGAACACAGCCTTGACCTTTCATGGTTTCTTCTGTTGTATGAGGATCGGAATGTGGGCAGAAAGGGACTCTGATATTGTTTTATCATACAACTCCACATACCTACTACAGGCCTGATAGGCCTTGAGGATCGAAGATAAATGGATAAGTTATGTGGAAGGAGGACTGATGGGGAGCTAAATGGATGGTGAGGACTAAAAAGCAGTGCAAGGGGCAGTGTGGGGAGCAGGTAGTTTCCTACATGTAGGAAAGAACTGAGGCAGAGCACTCTGGAGGTACAGTAAGCAAGTTTGTGATGGATCTTTTTTAAAAAGTCATGAAGTTGTGAGGTGGTAGATGACATGTTTTCTATCCTTTCTATTCACCAGAACTTCTAAATTTAGAAACAATTGGTATCTTTGCCTTTGACATGGTCCCCTACAACATTCCTCTCCCTAAACTGGAGAGTGATGGATTTGATGAGTGAACTGTTAGATGAATAAGAAAGTGGTTGGATGGTCACATCCAGGGGGTAGTGGTCAATGGCTCAGAGTTGTGATGGACATCATTGACAAGTGGTGTCGCTCAGGGGACCATATGGGGACCAGTGTTATTTAACAGTGGCCAAGAAGGCCAATGACTTTACTGGCCTATATCAAGAGTAGTGTAGCCAGTAGGACTAGGGAAGTGATTGTCCCCATGTACTCAGCACTGATGAGGCCACACCTTGAGTGCTGCGTTCAGTTATAGGCCTCTCACAAAGGACATTGAGATACTGGAGCAAGTCCAAGTGAAGTGCAACAAGGCTTGTAAAAGGTTTAGAACACATGTCTTATGAGGAACACATGTCTCAAGAAGAATAGGCTCAGGGGTGACCTCATTGCTCTCTACCACTACCTGGAAGGAGGTTGCAGTGAGGTGGGGTCTGGTCTCTTCAGCCATTCCTGCAGTGAGAGGACTACAGGAAATGGCTTTAAGCTGAGACAGGGAGATTCAGATTGGATATTAGAAAAAAAATATTTCACTGTTAGGGTGATCAGGCATTGGAATAGATTGCCCAGCGAGGTGGTAGGATCACCATCCCTGGAGGTGTTTCTTAGAGGCATCTTGATCTGGCACTGGGTGATACAGTTTAGTGGTTTAGGGGATGCAGTGGTAGTGCTAGGTGGATGGTTCGACTGGATGATCTTAAGGCCTTTTCCAGCCTTAATGTTTCTATGAATATCTTCATTAACAACATAGAGGAAGAGACTGAATGCACCCTCAACAAATTTGCAGATGACCCTGAGCTGAGTGGTGCAGTTGACACACCTGAAGGATGAGATGCCATCCAGAAGGACCTGGACAAGCTTGAGAAGTGGCCCATGGGAATCTCATGAGATTTAATAAGACCAAGTGCATGGTTCTGCACCTGGGTTGGGGCAACCCCTGCTATCAATACAGGCTGGGGAGTGGACTCATCGAGATCAGCCCTGCCAAAGACTTGAGGGTGCTGGTGGATGAGAGGCTGGACATGAGCTGGCAACATGCACTTGCAGCTCAGAAAGCCAAACGTATCCTGGGCTGTATCAGAAGTAGTATGGACAGCAGGTCAAGGCTGATGATTCTGCTGCCCTGCCCCACTCTGCTGAGACCCAACCTGGAGTGCTGCATCCAGCTCTGGGGTCTTCAGCGCAGGAAGGGCATCAACCTGTTGGAGTGGGTTCAGAGGAGGGTCATCAAGTTGATTAGAAGAATGGAGCACCTCTTCTACAAGGAAAGGCTGAGAGAATTTGGGTTGTTCAGCCTGGAAAAGAGAAGGCTTTGGGGTGACCTATTTGTGGGTTTCCAGTACCTGAAGGGAGCCTAAAAGAAAGATGGAGAGGGATTTTTTTACAAGAGCAGGTAGTGACAGGACAAGGGGGAATGGATTCAAACTGAGAGAAAGTTTAGATTAGATATTAGGAAAAAAATTATTTACTGTGAGGGTGGTGAGGCACTGGCACAGGTTGCCCAGAGAAGTTGTGGATGCTCCGTCCCTGAAAGTGTTTAAGGTGGATGGGCCTTGGAGCAACCTGGTCTAGTGAAAGGTGTCCCTGACCATGGCAGAGAAGTTGGAACTAGATGATCTTTCATGTCCCTTCCAACCCAAATGATTTGATGATTCTCTGATCATACCCCTTTTCCAGCTTCATCCTGATTATGGGTGCGTGCAGTCAGTCAACTAGTCCATGTATTTGCTCTCTGTTTCTTTGTACCATGGCTTTCAAGCATCTGCTGGGGCTGAAGTCACTGTGGGTTCAAGCCAAGAGCTTGTTGGGAACCTTTTTGATGATGTACTTTTAGTTGTAAACTGTCAGTCAGATGAAACCAGAGCTTTTCATGGAAATGTTTCTGTTTCAACAAAAGCTTTATTTGAAAAGTTTTTCTGGTCAGGATTGGATGAAGAAGGGTTGGAGGGAGGCAAGGAAAGTCATAATTTCCCCTCAATATACTTAATTACTTACCTCGGATGTTCCAAATCCTGGTTGGGTGTTCAGTAGCATATGGACTAAAATGAAGCGGGTCATCATTGCAGGTGAGTATGCCTCCTGCTAAGCAAACTGAATGCTTTGAAAGTGGTTTTGAAAAACAGTGCAAATTTTGTAGCATTTGGGATGCTGCGGAAATCAAGTGTTAAGTATGTAGGTCACAGATAAATCACTACTATGCCTCTCTGGACTAGAGAGTCTAAATAAATAAAATGTTGTGGGGGGATTCAGCTGGGACATTCCTAAGGACAAACCTGAATCTGAGCTCTTTCCAGCTTAGGATGATATCTGTCCAAGATGCTTAGTGCTGTCTGTCATCCCTTCCTCAGTAGGATCTTAATGCCTGTGGTAACCTAATACATGGATACTGCCAGCCAGTGGTTCTTCAGTGAGGAAAACAGCTGCCTAGCCTGTCAAAAATCCTTCTTCTTTTGCATCCTTATGATGATCCAGAAAGTTGCTGGCAAATCTGCTAGGCCTGGTGGCCACTTTGCACAGCTCTTGTCCTTCTGTTTAAACCAGACTTGTTTCTATCAGGGGCTGCTCACATAGAAAAATGCCATTCCTGTATCTGAGAATGGAGTAGCCACGTAAACTCAGCCTTCATGGGTTTGCAAAAGCCTGCAAATAGTTTCTTAAACTGGGGCAGAGCAGGCAGGGAGGCCTTTTAGCTTGGAGTATGCCAGAAATGGCCTTTGCCATCATTTGATCTAGGATTCTCTGTTTGAGGAATTGTGGGAGGAAAGCAGACTGATTTACAGCCTGTTAGAAGTCAGCATTCCCCAGTGCAGTCTGCACAGCCGGAGTTAAGGGGGCAACCATCTGTGATCAAAGAACAAATTTAGCTCTCTGCATTAGTCAAAAGGCAGGGTCCTTGAGAGGAGATAGACATGCATTGTAAAGCTTTGCTGGAAAGTTACTGGACCCAAGATTAATTGGAGTCCAGTGATTTTGGAGAGGAGGGCTGTAGGTCTGAGTAAGGCTTATGCTAGTTGTGCTGGCTGCAAAATGCTGGAGTTGAGTTTTACCCCTATATTCTTCCAAATTCAGAAGACAAAGTCAGCATTTTGTGCCTGCCCAAAGAGGAGTGAAGGGAATAAGCAGTGAAGAAATGTCCCTCTGCCAGCTAACAGGAAGTTGCCTCCTGCCAACTCAGATCCCGTGATTGCTTTACTGTCCAAGAGCTTGTGAGATGGTACGTGTTGGGCACACTTCACAGGCCATGAGGACTTGTGAGGTGGAATCCAGCCACTGTGCCAAGCCACCGTGCCAACTGCCAGCTACCAAGAGTGCAGTCCAGAAACAGAATCAAAATATCTTAATTAAAAAGTGTGTGTGTGTGTGTGTAATTAAACAGTGTGTCACTTTCTACTGGATCTGAGGAAATGCTAGAGAAAGAAGGAAAAGTAATGGACAATCTAAACAGCACATTCAATTCAGTGATGTTTGGAACCTTTCTTATTGGTATCTTCAGAAATAACTGGTTCTCTGCATGCTTGGGGGGGCTGGGAATGAGGTTGCTCTATATCACTACTGTGCAAGCAGCTGTGTGGGAGAAGGTAGCAAGGAACAGTCATCTGGAAAAGGATTCTGGACTGATGATAGTAGAAAACAACGGACTGAGCAGCCATAAGAAAACTGTAGCCAGATAATGACTGAATTAAACAGGAAATTCAGTGATGGCTGGTATCAATCAGGACATCAGTATCATGTTGAGAACACAAGATAAGGCTGGTGGTAGCATATTCCTCTCCCCAAAAGGTGAGAGATTTTCTCAGTAAGTCTGAGGAATCATTTCTAGTTATAAAAAGCTGCAGGGGTTTCCTTGGGGCTTTTCCTTTTGAAAGACACTTGGCCTAACCCAGCATGGCTAGCAGTGTTACCTGAAGCAGAATACTTGTGAGGCTGAGCAAATACTCTGCATTGTCAAGCTTGCTGAACGATGGGATGTTACCCTATAACGTCCAAGGGCTTCCCAGGTAAATGTTAGTAACCCACTGTCAAGACCTGCTGTATTCCTCTCTCTCGTGTCGGCTCTGTGCTCTGTGCAGTGCTGTTGTGGGGTTTTGCCGTCCGTGGCTGGGCTGGTTTGTGCTGCGGGCAGAGCGCTGTGCCCGCGGAGTGACGGGCGATGGGGCTCGCCGCGCGTTCCGCGGGG